ATTTACTGACTATGAACAAAAAATAAATTAAATTATCCTAAACTTTACAACAACTAAATGTTAACAATCTGGAAAAATTTTTTAATTCTTTAATACCACTTTTATAAATTTATTTTATACACATAATATGTATTTGATCAGATTACAATTAATTGCTTTTATAATTTTTTGATATTATTATAACTCCCAATAAATCAAATATAGATTTTAAGGTACATAAGTTTTAAGTCTTGTTTTGAATCATGTATAAATGATTGATTGACAACTCTCGATAAATTTGCACAAAATTTATAATTTGAATTTCAATTACTCAATGTAATACATACTTATATGTTTACTTATATAACAAACGATTAACATAGATTTTAACTTAAAAAACTTTTAACTTGAATCATTAATCATAAAAATGGTAGTGAAACCAAAATATATAATTATTTAAATTTTACAATTTTATATTTAAGTATATTTGCATAAAAATGTACAAAATTTACAAGCAAATAAATCAATTTGTACAAATATAAAAAAAAACTATTAAACTTATGTTATGTGTAACACCCATTTACATATAAGTCATAGTTTTGCAGATCTAGCAAAGAAAATAAACCCTAATAAATATTATTATGCCTATATTGAAAAAAAAGAAAAAACTTAATTTGATTGAGGAAAAAAAACTGAAAACATCGACACTTTAAGCAATTTTTAAAATATTCAATTTATATAAGATTAAATTAAACGCAAACGAACGTAATCTTACATACAACAGTAGTGTAAAAATATTTTGTTTATTAATCAGTGATAATTTTTTAATTCAATATTATTAAGAAAAAAATTTATACCGGCTTAGATAAAAAAAAAATCATTTTTTATTGGAAAAACAAAATTGCTAAATCAACTTTTTTTTTTTTGTTAAATTCTAGAAAAAAAAATGTTACTTTTAATTTAAAACCTATTAACAATTTAACATAATACGGGTAGCTTTTCTAATATTTTATATTTGCCTCCCGAATAATTTTTATTTAATAATAAAATTGAATTTTAATGAAGATTGAAAATAATCTTTGCCAAGAGCAATATTTTGGAAATTTATATTTAATAATTACGTTGTAAACAGAAATTTAGCTTTTTTTTAGAAAAATATTTTAATTTATCTGTATAATGTATTATAGGCACTTAATTGAGTTGTTAAAGAGAGCTGGGAAATATAATATACACATTTCTCATAAATTAAATGCTATAATTTATATATGTTTTTATTATAAGCTTAGGGAGTCTATTTATATCAATACATATTTTCAATATACATAATTATTTTAATTCCAATGGTTAATATTTTTTTATTAATATTAAATTAAAATAATTATTTTATTTTATTTATATTAAGAATATTAAAAAGTGTAACATAACTCCTTATTAAATTAATGTCAACATTTATATTTTGTTTGATTTTTATTTTTAATGTGGTCCTACTTAATTTTATAATTAAGAAAATTCATTTTTGTATAAATAAAAACACATTTGATAATATCATCTAATTTAACATTAAAAATTCATTAAAAGTATATTAAACTATAATGATAAACTATATGTAAAACAGAACTTGAATAATTTTGGTCTACGTCTAAAACAGACGTTCAGGATTAAAAAACTAGATACAAAAAAAAATCATGGTGTTGCTCTACGGAAGAATAACATTGACCGCAAAATTATTTTTCAAGTACTTAGTACCTAAAAATAAGAAAAAAAAATTAGAATTATTTAACTTCTCTTATGTACTCAAAAAATGAAAATTGAAATTGTAAGCACTTTATATTTCTTCTTGATTTTGTTCTATAGTGCTGAAATCCCGGTCAATATTAACTTGGACACCCTGACATCGGAAATATATTTACAATGCATAATCGAAAATGTGATGGCAAAAATATTACATTGTGCTGTGATTACAATTATTCATCTTACAATATGTTTGCGAGTAATTTTCCTAACACGGCTTGTAATTTTATGTATCCAAAAATACCTTAATATATAAAGTATTTTGAAGGTTTTTTTGTAAATTGTACATAAATAGCCAAACAAAATTAATAAATTTTGTTTAAAGCTTACAGCATTGTAAAATTCATTGAGATTAATAATATTTGCACCCTATTTATGTTACAACTTCCAAGTAATTAGATTCCGTAAGATTTTTTCAGTGATTTCAACTCCACTTACATTCAACGGTTAGTAAATTTTCTTCAAACCATTAATGTATGTATTTAAAGACACATAAAATTGAACTAGCTTTTCATTACACTAATTGAAATGGTTTCAGTTAATCTGAACAAATGACGTTGTATGTAGATAAGACGGCATTACATTGATTTAAATCATCGTATGTTTTGACCATTATTATTAATGACAACTTTTCAACAGCAGCATTTCACGTGTTTTCTGCTTTTCCTTTTTATTTTTATGCTCCCCATCTAAGCATACCATATTTCTCATATTAAAAGCTATCAAGTGTTAACATTTATTTTCTGTTTGGTACCTCTATAAGTTTTTTTTCTCTGTTGTTCCTTCAATTTTTGGTTTTTGTTTTTTTTTTCTGTGTATTTTGCTATTTTGGCATTTAACATGAAAAATAAATATTTACTTTATAAAATTTGAACATTTTTTTAACAATTTTATTCTAAGTTTTTTTTTTTATTGAATGGATAATATTATTTTATTTGCATAAACATAGATCGTAGATATTGGTAGATTGAAAGGTTAGATTAAGATAGATGCTTGCTTACTCAAATTGATGTGGATAGATTGATAGATATGTAAGAGTAAAAGCATATATAGAATAGATATACACATATTATGTAGATTTACAATAATTGAAAACAATTATGTATTTGAAAGTTGTACGGTTAATCTTTCATTTTAATTGAATTGAGAAAATCGATTTTTAAAAAAATAAATCTAATAATTAATACAATTAAATTATAAAGTCTGCCAGTTAACTAAATGAATTTTATTAGCGGAGACAGACAAACTAATTTAAAATTAAAATATTTCCATGAGAGAATATATTTATTGAAATTAAAAAAAAACGAGAAAAATTAGAGTTGACCGTGTCAACCGTGTGATACCTGTACGAATATGGGATAGACTATAACTTTAAGTTACCATAATATTTATGCAAAATTTCAGTACGGACGGACGAACGAACGGACAGACAAAGTTAAATCGAAAATTATTACATTATAGGAGGTTCTATAAAACTAATGCTTGTTGTTTTAATAGTTCTAAACTAAAATTGTTGTTTTAATAAAACTAAACTACTATTTACTAATTGTACATATATGGAGAGCAGTTCATATGTAAAATAATTAGACTTTCAATTACTAAACGATTCTATTTTAATTGAGAAAAATAAAATTTACATATATCGACATTATGTAATAGGAGGATAAAGGTATAGGAGGGATTGCTGTATATAAAACATTTACTGAATTTTAGAAGTAATTAACAAAGATACTCGTAACTAACGAGTTCACTGTTCAACAGTTCAATTCGTTTTAAGCTTATTGATATTATAAAATTCTACTTTATTTCCCATTACTGTTATATAACACATATTCGTACAGACAGTATTGATTATTACTTCCAATTTTAAAAGTTTATTTTAATTTTATTTTCCTTTAATACCAAATTCTACCACATTTTAATGTTTATATTTCATTGCAATTCGCTACTTTTTTTTGTATTCAAATCAACTATATAATGCTAATAAAATAGAAAGTTTGAGATCGAAAGAGGATTGAAAGTGTTTCTTATATTTAATTTTTTTTTGTTTTTCATTCATTCATTACAATCATCTAATAAAAATTTTGTTTTCTTTTGCGTTATAATATTAAACATACAAAATATTAAATTTTAATTTAATTATATTTTGAAATGCATGAGCATGATCAAAAATTTCAGAAGCATTGTGCTTTTATTATTACGTTTAAACGGTTTAATTTTTATAGAAATAGAAATTTTAAACCATACAAACATTTTATTAGCTTAAAAAGCGAAAGTGAAAAAGTCTTCAATTGATCTTATCACAATTGAATAAAAATTACTTCTTATTTGTATTAAAAATCTTCCTATTTCTCTTAGATTTAAAATGACGATAAAGTAAATTTTGTGTTTAGAATAATATTTAAAAGGTTATTGAATTTTAAAATTTTGTACTGTTTATTCTGTTGATTTATTCATGATTTTTTTTTAACAATTTGTTTTTATTTGTTATTTTCATTTTTTCATTAGATACACAAAATTTTATTTACATATAATTAAAATAATGTTTTGTTTGTGATTAAATTAATAATTGAAAACTTTTTGATTTTAATTTGAGCAAAATTAGCAATTTAGCAATAATATTTGAAAAGAACAGTGCGTAAGCATATATGTGTTTAATTTTCGTTAAATCGAACCTCAATAGCCCGAATCAATTTAATTTTAGAAATAAATTTGAAATAAAAATTTTTAATACATTGAGGAAAAAATCAAATATTAGAAAAGTTTTTGGTGAAACTTAAACAAAAATTGAACATAAAAGGAGTTTAAAAGACCGGATTTAGGAAGCATTTATATCAAAAGGGCGTAACGCTAAATTATAAATTGCGAGTATGACGTTTGTTTTATAATTATTATTTGACATTGCATAAAATTAAATTCACAATTCAATTAGCTAAAAAAATTTTGCATATAAAATTCAGTTCAGGGCAGCTGCAAATTAAAATGCCGCTCGATTTTTTTTTTCTAAAATAATTAATTTAATTCTAACAAATAATGAAGGCTAATTAAAGTATTCATGTAGGGTAGAATTATTCTTGTTATATACTAACATATTAACCATCGAATATAATAAAATTTTGCAATTACTGACAAATTTTTTTTGGCCTTCAATAGATTTAAAACTGACCGAATTTTATTTAAATTTTTAATTTTTTGATAACTATAAGAAATTAAATCTTAAAATCACTCACCAGCAGCTTTAATTCGTTGTCCCATTCAATGAACAACCCCAATAACATAATTACTATACAATTTTTAATTAAATTGTACTAAATTTTAGTCATTTTAGAATGATTCGTTTTTTTTTATAATGCGTACTATTTTAATACTACATAAATATACAACTTCATGTATGTATGTACGAGTATATGGCCATAGAACAATATTGTAAAATTGCATTTGTTATGAGTTACTTAAATTATATACTCTCATTAAATTCATAATATAACAAGAATAACTACATAATATACAAGGCCCTGTTGCTTTTAATTTTCATCATTTAAAAAAAAAAATATTTTTTTAATACTGTAGCTCATTATTGTTTTGACCCTTGATTAAAATAAAAAATTTATGGTGTGATAGGGCTCTGATATATTACTTTTAAATATTTCCGAAAAATGTGCAAGTAGTTCTAGTACAAGTAGCAAAGCTTCTGTTGTAGGTCAAGACATTAGTAAACTATACCAGTAAAAGAAAAAGTGAATGGTGTGATAGGGTCAGCTTACTTATTTTTCAAATTTTAGATTTTACTGCGAACATTATTTTGGTGAATAGTACTTTTAAAAAACCAAACCCTTTTTTGTTAAATATTATTGGAGGTTACTTCTTTTTAAAAACGGCAATATGGATCTGTATATCCACATCTGTATTATAAGGTACTATATAATCCACTTAACTGAAATAAACAATGTCTGTAACTAACTGTAATACAAAGAGAAAGGAAGTTATTTGTAATAATCATTTGCCTAGTGTAAATCAAAAATTAAATTACTATTTCCGAATTTGACTCAGCAATCAAAATCAAATCCGTAAGTTCTAATAACCTAACATCAACGTAATAGAAAAATTCAAAATTTTTCTAGATTTTTTATTAAATTTCCTAATTAACTTATCTTAACATTGGCCAAAATATTCCAAGTTGCCAAAACTTTTCCTTAATTTTTTAATTTCATCTTTTTTTTTTAATTTTTGAAGGCCAGACACGTTTGATGTTGATGTAAAAAAAAGCATGTGTATTATTTTTGTTTTTTTTTTTTTAATTTTTTTCTACAACCCTTTTAATTTTTTTTTTTAAATTTTACAAAAAAAAAACAAAAATAATCATTTTTTTTTATTATCATGATACAAAAATATTTAAATTTCAATGTTATACGCACATAAATCAAATTTTAATGTCATTACACGATAATATTTATATTTATTTAAATAGTGTTATTATAAAGATTAATTACCAAAAATTATAAAAATAAAAAAACTAAAAGTAATTAAAAGCGTATTTTTGTCTTATTTTTTATATTTTTTTGTATTGTCTCTATTTTATTCTTAATATTTTAGAAAGAGATACGAAAATCTTTGAATTATACAATTAAATTCTTAAAAAAATTTCAGTTAGTTTTATTGTACTGTAATAATTATAACTTTTATTATAACGCAAACCTTTGATTATAATTTATTTATTTAATAAAGTAATATTAAAAAAATAAGTAAACGAAAAGTTAATTATATTTTATTTATGCTTTATTAAAGCTTATTTAATTTAATACTAATTAATTCCATGACATTACCAATGATTTTGAACTTAAAGTAGCACTGAAATTTTTAAAACTTTTACAAAAAAAGATCAAATACTGATTAATACTTAAAATCGAAATTAAATGTGTTAATATTTGATTTTTTCTAATATTTCAAGTTCTCATCATTTGCGACGCAAATTTTTGTTATAACAGAGCAAAATTACACTTTACATTAATAATACAATCAAAAACGATTTTCCTGAATAATTTTTTAAAAATTGTCACTGTTTTCGTATTATACTGTAATCATTAAAGTGATTTTGTTAAAGACGAGTTAGTCAATGTTATTCGAAAATTAGAATACAACCCGTAGGGTATCTACCCTTTTATATCATATAATTTTAAAAATCCACTATAAATTTATGTTACAAATTTCAATTACTTTTTTTTTTTTTCAAAATTCACACTAATATTTTGTTTAAAAATTCTAATAGTGTTTAAGTAACTGTTTTTTTAATATATCTTTTTTTATTAGAAAAATATTTAATACACGAACTGAACGAATACAGGAGATCGACTGAACAAATTTTAGAGGGAAGAAAATTCCCACAAATAAAAATCATAAAACATCAAAAAACAAAAACAAAAAAAAACATTTTTAAGCGAAATGTGAAACAAAACAAGTAAAAAATAAAAAATCATAAAAGTTTTCCTATGAAGCGGGCGGCTCTCTATACCATTTAGACACTAGCTCACTTAGTTGTTTATATGCTTATAATAACCTATCTTATACACACATAAATACTCATAAAATACAAAAAAAAAAAATGGTAATAGAATTTTAAACTTTATTTTGAAATAAAATAAAAATATAAGCACAAAAATAAATAGAAAAACATAGAAAAGAAAAGATTTTAGCTGAATTTAATCGCGCGCAACTTTTTATATTCTTTTCTGGTTTTATTGTTTTTTTTACTTAATTTTTTTATGAATGATTTATTTTTTGTTTTTTTTTTTCTTTATTTTTGCTCTTATTATTATTTCTTTAAAGCATATTTTTTTTATTACAGATTTAAGCGGTAAACATCTTAACTTTTGGTTGACAAATCACTTACAACCGGGAGAACATAAAATAGTGCAATAAAAAATATACATATATTATGTGAATATTACGTAGAATGTAACTCAAAATGGTTTATATGGATATACAATGCAATCCATTACATTATCTGAACCTTAACATTTACAACATTAACAACTCAACAAAGTATGATTTAAGTGTTTAAAGTGGCATTTTACTTTTGTATTTATGTACTTTTATAAATATCTAAACAATATTGTAATGTTTTTATTGTGTCTTTTCTTCTTCTTATACGTATTTTTAGTTTTGGGGGGTGATCTGATAATATCATTTAAGAATGAAATACTATATGAATACCTATATATAAATATCTTTATGGTAATGGACTTATTACATTATAATGTTGAGAAATAATATGTTTTGTTCTTATTATTATTATTATTATTATTTTTCTATGGGAATTGCATTCTATTATTATTTTGACTTGGCCATTCCATTAAATGAAAATTATATAGGGAATGAAATTTTCCTTCCCATAATATTCAAATATTTTATATTTACATGTAGCTAATATTATTCAATTATAAATCAAATTGAATTTCAATTTAAGTTTAGAAGGTGCATTACATATGTTAGACGAAAACCAAATGAACATTACCTCGACTTAAGCACTAGTTAAAATTGTATTACTGAATAAACCAAATTGATGTTAGATCTACATTTTGATAAATGCCCGTTTTACTTTAATTGCAACAGATTTGGAGTAAAAATAAAGATTTAAGTTTCCTCTTTAGAGCCTAAAATATATTAAATTTTGGTCATCTAATTGTGGAATTGTTATTAGATACAACACTAAAATAATAAATACGTTAACATTAAAATGGTGAACGGATTCAATCCTTAAACATATAAAAATGAAAATGAATGATCCAAGTATATAGAAATTCCAATTACTAGATTTTCTCGCATTAAGTGAAACTACACGAAATGCATGCAATATTTACAAATGTTATAATAACAATAATAAAATGAAAACTTGCCTTACTGTGAGAACTTAAATTCATTTGATAAAATAAATGAATAACTGCAAAACAGTCATTTCGCTTTTACTATTAAGATTGTTTTACATAAAAGTGAAAAATGAATTTGCAAACTTTGCAATTTCAAAAATATGCGAAATAACATTAACTGTTAATAATTATTCTAATTTGTACAGAAATTGATTTTATTCTTATACAGCAAAATAATAATCAGAATTGCGTTCAAGGAACAAGAAAAATATCGACATTTAAAATCATCAATTTATCACTATATAACGCCCAATAGACTTCCAAATTTAGATATCAAATATAAAAAAGAGATATCAAGAAAATTATTTATTACTTATAAAAGTATTCTTACTTTTGCCGAACTAAATTTATTTAGACCAAAGGCTCTACATAATAAATCATCATGATACGATCAAAAATCACGATTGTGATTTACTGTCATTAAATTGCTAAAAGCTGTTACGGTTTTTACTTTTTCACATAGTATTCTATCGATTCAAGTAAGTAGAATGTGAAGAAACACGTCAAAATGTTATGTGTGAGGTAATTTAATAGGTCATCTTAAACAGGTGTAATCACTATTATAACATTTTTTTTTGAAATTTTAGGGTTCATAAGATTAAATGAATTTTCTGTTTTTTTTTTGTTTCTTAAATGGATAACAGACTTTTATGATTACATTCTTTTAGCAAATTTTCTCATATATAGCGATTGATTTTTCAATATTATCTGATGATGATTACGATCATGTTTTTTCAATCATTAATATCATATAAAAGGATCATTAAGGAATAATCATAATTCATTTTCGTGATATATTTAAAAAGCGATCATCATAATTGTTTAAATAACAAAAAAAAATAACAAAATACCTTTTGACGGCTTTAAAATTGCATATTGTAGGAGTAAAAAATATACATTGTAGTGAGTGCGACATATATGTACATATATATACATGCGGACATGAATATACCTTAAATATATTGAGCAGAACCATATCTTAAACATATTGTTAAATTATACTTAGTGGTAATAAAATCTAAATAACTTTTTTAAAAATTCGATGAAAAAAATATAATCAATTTAAATACCTTACATATTCCTTCAACACAAACAGCTCTACGTCGGTAGTAATGTGTAAAATATACTGCTGGACGTTTACATGATGTACCATCAATAACAGTTTTGTTCAATGTTGCATAATATTTTTGTCCTAATGGTTTGCAATTTAATTCACATTCATTATCCTCTAAAAGAGTAAAAATATTTTTTTATTAAATTATAAATATTATTATTAAATTCTTATATAATTATACACGAAGTGTTCAATTATTATGGAATAATTAGCCTTTAAATTT